TTGGGTTGAACTGTTCTGGAACAGTGTTGTAAATACAACTTAACCACTGATTTCTAGTCGTGTCCATTTTTGGATGACCAAACAAAGTAGTTTCGCTTTCACAACGAAGCACACAGCGTCTTCACAACATGGCTGCAGCGTCAACAATACTACAGCGAGAATAAAAGTTACGCCTTCTTTCTTTGCGTGAACATTTGGGCGGCGTTATGCAAATCTTCCCACATAGCGATGTAGACATGTGGGGGCGTGTTAGAACGAGCCGTTTTAGGTAGGTGTGGCTGACTCTTAACTTTTATAAAGAATATCTCTTTGGATTTGAGACTTTAGTCTTTGTAACTTTACAGATCTTCTTTATGCACCAAGTGCTTGTAACACTCCAAAGAGAAAGGAAAAATTGAAATCGCATCATATGACCCTTTTAAATAACATTTATAATAAATAAAGCATATAGTAAAATATAGTACTAAAGAACCAAGACATTCAACATTCATTAATGACATAAAAGTCATGAAAAAGTTCTACAAAGACTTACAACAAAAGCACTTACCAATCACAAGACTTTTAAGCTCCAAACTTTGGAATGGCGTTTTCCCATTTACACCTCTCCAGTTTATGGTTTTAGCAAAGTCATTTTTAATTGCCTGCTTCATTATTCTCCAGACAGTGTCCTTCAGATCCATGCCACCCAGCAATCTAAGTTCGAGTACCTGAAATGTTTTTAAACACACTTTTAGTCCTTGAATACTTTTGAATAAGGATTAGTAATTACACTACATACAACTTATCAAAAATTCAGAAATTAACTCTTTAGATCAGTTTGCTTTAGATTGATCACACACAAACAGATATGTAAGTGATAACAGTAGGCATTAGGGAACTGTGCATAACTGTTAGTGTTACCTACCACTTTTTGTCTCGTTTCCGGAGAGGATCGAAGATCACTTTCCAGGGAAGTTAATGATCTTAAATCTTCAATTGGAAAACGTTTTGGAGTTAAGTGGTTAGCCTCAGTGATCTCCCCGACATTGTTTTCTTTGAGATCCTGAACCATTCTTGCAAGGTTTCTTTGCTGCTCCATAACAATTTCAAGTTTTGTTAAGACATAATGAAGAAGTGCTGAAACATTAAACACAGAAATTGCAAGGTTACCACCAGTGGTGGAAAGAGTACTGAAAAAATATACTCAAGTAAAAGTACCATTACCTTCCAAAAAATGTAGTGTGAGTAGAGTCAAATTGTTATGCTGATAATACAATTTGTAAGGAAAAATGCATTAAATAACGAGTTATTTATGGGGAAACTTTTTCAAAGAAAAACACACGCACACACACACACACACACACACACGTCTCTTTGCTGAGCCACGGCTGTCTCGGTGAATCAGCAGCATCCACAACTGAATGGAACAAAAAGTGTTGAACTTGAATTGTTTATGCGCGAGTGCTCTTGCTAAATGAAGGTGGATTGTATAAAATGGATTAAAAAAAATTTAATAAAAAAAAACGTTTAGTAACACATGCTGGCACAGATGCAGTATATTAACGCCACGGGTCATCAATATGGTGCAGATTGTTCCTCAATTTGTGTTTCCAACACACTTTTTCACAGCGTGCATCACGCGCTCAAACTCATCAAAAGTCAACAAGTTCCACAAGCAACAACGACTTATCCAAGTGACTGCTGCAGAACACGCGAGAGAGAGACGAGGCAGTGTAGATCGCGCATCTCGTGAGTGGGAATTTACCGAACGTGGCACTTTCGGGAGTTAACACTGTATGCAATACCCGCAACCTCACACCAAATTTCAGGCCGTGTAGATTGGCAAGCATATATACAAATCACTTAGTAAGCAGAAATCTGAAATTTACCAAAACATATTAAGTTAGAGGAAGATGCGACTGAATTGATGCTTGAAGAATGCACTTCCAGCAGCCATGATAAACAGTTGACGGTTAAAATTGTATATGCACAATTTGATTTGACGAAAGTCACGAGACCTATTACTATCTCACTATGCAATCACGTTCATGGATAAAAATAAAATTAAAAAAATTTCAGGCCGTGTAGATAGGCAAGCATATATACAAATCATTTAGTAAGCAGAAATCCGAAATTTACCTTAACGTATTAAGTTAGAGGAAGATGCGACAGAATTGATGCTTGAAGAATGCACTTCCAGCAGCCATGATAAACAGTTGGCGGTTAAATTTTCTATGAACAATTTGATTTGACAAAAGTCACGAGACCTATTACTATCTCTCTATCCAATCACGTTGATGGATAAAAATTAAATTAAAATGAGCATGTAAAGACCACAAATCGGAGGAAAATAGCGGAGTAAAAGTACCGATACATCACTTAAAATGTACTCAAGTAAAAGTACACAATT